ACCCAAAGTAGAGTAAAAAAAAAAACCTTTAAAAAGTGAATTTTGCATAATAGGTCTCCTTTAAATAAAATTTTATATTACATTTTTTCTTTTTTTATTTCTTTACATCAAACACCCCTTAGGAATCTAAAACACAATAAAAAGGTGATACATTACGTCAAGAAAAAGACGTCTTCTCACCCAGTATACCCTGGTTTTTCTTATCGTTTTAAACAGTAGAAAAGCTGTTATCCTATTAGATATAAACTTCATCGGTATAGCTTAATTGCATTAGATGCTAAAAAATTATAAGTATGGAAACACATGGTTTAACGTGTGCTTTCATACTATGAAATTTCAGTATTAGCTCCTAAAGATATTTAAAGTTGACTATGACAATAGAAAAGTTATTGTCAATTCCAAAATAACAATTTTAGATTTATAATTATAATACTGTGATACAGTGAAACTGTGATATTTTTGCCTAAGGTCTTACCATCAAAAGTCTATACCGGCCCATGCCAAGAAATAACAAATGTGAACAGGCCCTCAGAGTCCACAGCAACAAGTGATGAATTTGAACTCAACCASCAAAAACAAAATATACACAATATTAGTGTTTTGTACAAAATGAATAAAGCAAAAYGACGTACAAGAGGCAGTAAAGTCAAAGTCGTAGAAGGCCAACATGAGGAAGTTCAYCACGAGGAACATAAAACCTGTAAATGTTATGAGGTTTGGAGCCAACCATGTTGGTAGAAACTGTTGAGAGATTAAAATAAACAATTAAAAACAGTTCATGGTAATAAACAGAACAAGATGATAAACTAACAGCACATTAACGACACTTCAAAGCCTATACCCTGCTCTCTGTGTGAGTCAGACAGATATTTTAAGTAATGTCACATCGCCATAAAGCAGAGATTAGGTGACRGATGAAGTTCACAGATAAATAGAAATATCAGAAAGAGCRAGTCTGCACAGTTTATCAGACACATAACATTTAAAACATTCTTCGGAAAGGTCAGAACAGACTATCTCAGCCGCCGTATCACACGATGCCATTCATGGAAACTTCATTAATGATGGAGCGCCCGCAGCTCTCGCTCACCTTCACCACGAAGTTCCAGAAAGGATGCATAACGTAGACCGACAGGGGATTCGTGTCCACTGCGCTGTACTGTGGAAGAAAACACACAAAAGAAACATGTATGCTGGATCATTTAGGTGGTCTGTCATTCCAAACATCCAGACTCCAGTTTCTGTAACTTTATCTGAGCGTGACGAACGTGTAAGAGATCCAACATAACGGACCCTAACATTCGTATGGTTCAAGTGTGACATGTTAACCTTTTATTCAACTCTTTCCTTTATTTCTTTTTATTATGACCTTTACATTTATTTCGTTTGTAACAAAAAAATGACTAGAAATCTTTATCAGCCCTTTAACAAAAGATGTAAGCTCTTAACTACAAAATAATGCTAGGACACCACTTCTTTACACATGTAGACAAGCTTGAAACTGTATTCATGTCGTACAGGAGACATGTTTAGCTTTCTAAAAATAAAAAACAGACATACAGAAAAACCTTCATAAAACAGTGCTGTAGTCATGCTGATGATGTTCTAAGTGTCTGATATGAGATAAATAAAAAAGATAAAATTTGAGGTAGTTATAAAAGGTGTCATTGCTGCTCAAAATTTTAACACTATTTTTTAAACAATTTTGTAATTGTTTTTTTACCCCTAAGTTCACAAAAAAGATGTATTTTGATGTATAAACTGGATAAGAAGAGTAAGGAGTGATGCTACAGCTGCTGATAGCGGCTCATTACAGTCACCCCTGGGAACTACGCACCTGTTTCTCATATTTCCCGATTGCCAAGTTAATGAGGCAGGGAAAAAAATGGTCATAAACGTGAACTTTTCGGTTTCTGCAGTATTTTATCTAGGAGATGTGCCAAGTTAAAAACATCCTTCCAGCTTCCAATTTTGAGAATATTTTTGAACTAAACTGTAATATGGAAACTTGGGTGTGCAACTCTTGTACATCCTCCCAGAATGCAAACTTTAAGTGAGAGATACTGAGTGAAAGATATTAAAATTTCCAATGTTTTGATGTAATATTTGTTTATAGAGCAAAACAAGTGGTAGAGAAAGAAGAGTTAAGGTTAGTGTAAATTGTCAACATTATGTGATGTAGGGCTGTGTATTGGCAAGAATTTGGCGATACGATACATATCACGACAGAGGGGTCACGATATGATATATCCTGATATAT